AAAAAAACAAAATTTAATATAAAGTAAGTTTTATCATTTATTATGACAAAATTATTAATATCTAATCAACAATTACATGGTTACGATTCTTATTTTGTTGATGTTGGTTTTTGGATTCAAAAACTTTCACAATTTTTGCTAGCTCCTCATCTCTTTTTCTTTTTTTTTTTTACATGTTCTGTCTTATCACACGATTGTGATTTTGAATTTTCTCGCATTACATAATAATTCCATTCTATTGTTTCACATAACACAAAAGCAGATTTCTCAACAAAAATTAGTTCACCAGCAACAGAAAAAATAGTTCGACGATGTGTAGCTTCAGCTACATTCGAATGGCGACCTTTCGGATTATACTTGTATATAACTGACAAATCAGTGGTTTTTCCATTCATACTATTATAAACTCCTTTTTTTAAACGAAAGATTGTACTGTCGCCATGTGGTTCAGAAGGGTCTTGAACAGGTGCGGAAAAAATTCCAAAAGCAGGTGCAATTGGCAGATCATAAATGGTAGGTTCGTTTTGTAATGTTTTAATTTGCAAAGATACACTTTGAGAAATCGTAACCTTAATTTTAAATATGAAATTAAATTAATCATTATATTCTTCTATATAGGTTAATATGAACTAGAGGTGCAGGCAAATCGTCCCAATGATTGCCATAACTTTACTATAACGTGCCGTTATAACTAATAATACATTCGGTAAAGTTACAGCAATCATTGAGACAATTTGCCTGCACCTCTAGTATGAACAAGTTGGGTTTTTATGTTTACATTTAACTCATCTTCGAATGCAAAACAACCAATTATCATAGTGATAGTTTTTTCAGTCAATTCTTCAATAAGTGATGATTCTCCCATATAAAATGCTTTAAACTTATATTCAGGAAATTCATTAGTTGCTGTTCGGTAGACCGCAAACCTGGTACAATATTTTTCTAAACTTGAGACAAAAACACTTTTTATGAAGGAAATAGCACAGAAGATAGAGGCCATTTGTTTCGTTGTAGTAAATTGTAAAATTGGTGTTTATTTTATTATTTTTTTGCTATCACGAAGATTACATTTTTAAATCTTTTTATAATAAAATTTAATTTTATTTACAACCTATTTTATTTTAGCGAGTTAACAATAATAAAATTATTTTTAAAAATGCTTTTCAAATCAGTTTGTAAATCGAATTTTCTAAATGCAGAGATCGTTTACGTGAATTAGCCTGATGAAGCAAAAAAAGTAAAAAATATGAAACGAATATTTAAACCTATCTTGGTAAAATAATAAAAATGTCAGGGAGACAATTATACACTGACACCAACCTTAACATTAATTTAAATTCAGGATAGACCTGGCTTTAAGCATCCCCTAAATGCATTTTAACAATTATACAAGGTGATACAGTAAAACCTCCATAAGTGCACGCTCTTGAGACCGAACTTTAATGACATGCACTTAAAGAACAATAAAAAAAAAGTGCATTTATGGAGGTCATGTACAGATTTGGGCCTAAATTTAAGCATGCATTTAGAGAGGGTGTACACTTATAAAGGATGCACTTATAGAGGTTTTACTGTATATTATTATTCAAAGACTTTACAGTCTTCTTGATTTGCAAATTTTTGTAAGCCTCTAAAAAATGCATGTGCTGAATCTGTGACAGGTTATGCCGATTACCAAATCTAAAGAACACAAAGATCAGAATTTAACGCAGGCTTAATACAGTGAAACCTCCATAAGTGCACACCCTCTCTAAATGCACACTTAAATTCAGGCCCAAATCTGTACATGACCTCCATAAATACACTTTTTCT